ATTGATCTTCAGGAACATTTCCGTAAGACAAGTTTTCCATTTGTGTTATGTATTTGGTCAGGTTTTAGACCCTTTAAGTGACTGGTTATGACCATTTCTGTGCAGTTTTAAAATTCTGTTTAGGAAAGTGAATGTGCCCAGCTCTTCATTTGGTTATTCTGAAAGTTATTAACTCTTTTAACAAATTTAAAACAAAATAAAATAAAACAAAAACACCTCTTCTATAACAGATTGAAATATATTAGATCTTAAAAATAAAAAGAATGATATATATTTTTAAACTTCCCCTGGCACACAAAAATAAAATAGAACTAAGGCTAATATATATACATACATACATATGTATTCCTTATAACATTTTCTCAAATGCTTAATGACTTTGTAAATGATTATATTGGGCAGACTGAGAAATGTGATTTTCTATTCTTGATGAGTAATTGATATTTGGAAAGTGTATTAGACTGAAATGAAGTAGACATTGCTATACAGTCTATTCTTACTCCTAGTATCTTGATAGAAACTGAGTGTCCCACCTTTCTCCCCTGGGATCCATTCAGCACCCTAGCCTTCCAGTTAGCAGCCACGCTACATCACCAGGGCTTTAGAAGTGGTGCCTAATGCTCAAACATTATTAGATTTAAATTTTTCATTACTGATATGTTATACTTCGCTTTATAGCTTAACATATACCTTTATAAAAAATATTACTATTATTGATTTTGATCGCATTTGAAAGGAGGAATAAGTATAGATTAATGAAATAAAAGCACATAGTCTTTAAGAGGATAAGTTAAAATGACTAGCACTGTAAATATGGGCATAACTTATTTGTTTTTTCGTGGGTTTATCATTTATGAATTAATAATTATCTTTTCTTCACAGATTTATTATGTAAAGTAAATCTACTAAGCATGATGTTTAATATGGAAAAGCTCGATACATATTTATTATGGGGTCCCTGTAAAACACTCTACTGTGAGCCTAAGTTTGGTCATTTTAACTCACCCAGAGTCACCTACAAGGCCACATCTAAAAGGTCACAACCTTGAAAATGTTATGAAGCAGTGTTCCTCTACACAGGAGTTCACTTGAGTTACAATAGACTCAATGGCACCAAATACTAATTTATTATTACTATGGAATTATTAAAAACTTCAAGAAAACTTGTCTTTTTGCTTCATTTTAAAATTAATATAAATTACATATTTTAAATAATGAGTATTTTGGCATTATGCACCCATTTGTCCATACATTTTATTTTTTTTTCTTAACCACCCATCCACTCTCTTTGTTTAGCTTGTATGTCTAGACTCTTTACAGTCAATACTTCTTCCTTAATGCTTTTCTAATATCTCTAAGGTACAGTTGTTGCACACTAATCTGTGTGTGTACTGTCAGAAACCTGTGCTTATTTTATTCATAAATACTAGGATGCTCAAGCAATTTTTTTTCTGTTAGTTTGTCTGTCCAAACAAATTTGGGGTCCCTCGTGTATTTTAACTCTGAAGTTATTAGCGTATTATCAGAATTCTTGACATTGCTGGAAGAGTTCTGACTCAATTTATAGATGCTAATATGTTTATAGGATGTAAATAAAATATTGTTTTCATGAAAATTTACAAAAGTATTCCAAATGATATTTTTTAGTAATAAAAATTGCTCAAACATTATCAAATCTATAAAATTAGAATAATATGTGTAAGTGTATTGTTTAGCAAGACTCATGGAATATATCCTAAGTGCTGACTATAATATTAACCGAATGAAAAAATAAAACTGAATATTAATTTGATACCAAAATCTATTAAAATAACTATAAAATAGGCTTTAAGAAGCATGTAGAGGGAACAAAATAATTTTAAACATCAGCAAATGAAATCCTAAGTAAATAAAAGGATTATTTTGTAGGAAGTATATAATTCACAATATAAACTACTATGTAAGAAATACATAAAGATATTAAAATAACTTAGAAATAGGAAAATGATTATTTATAAACAAATTAAGAAAGTAGAGAAAGTTATTTATATACATCTGAGGATATATTTTGATAGCTAGAGGACATTGGTTGTTTAAAAAAGTGTACATTACAAGAATTGACTGAAAATATGAATAAGAAATATTTATAGGCATAGCATAGAACCACAAAAGAGGGCATGGAAAGTATCTCCTCTGTTCAAGAACAGATATTTCTAATATTATTTACAGAACTCAATGGCATTAAAATAATAATTCACGATTGTTTCACAAATATTACACAACTCTGATGTCAAGCAATGACAAATAAGAACTTTATAGATAATTATATTGTACCACTAACTATGTAGCTAAGCCATATATTGCAACGATAACTAGCAGAATCAAATTGACATTATAAGCCAAAATATAAATAGAATTAATTTTATTAGTAAGTAGATTAAGAATACGCTTAAAAGAGAAATATATGATGTTTATTGACATCATATATTTATTTCAAAATAAAGGTCAGAATTCTACTTAATTGTAAAAAAGTAAAAATAATCTCTTAAATTCAGATATAAGCAAACAAAACAGAACAACAACAACAACAAAAAACCAACCCTTTCTCATTGGGATAGTTGTTGGATAAATACTGTTGTGTGCAACAGGGTGAATTCCAATTTATAATTATCTAGTAGAACACAGTAGTGCTGCCTCATAGGGTTTTCTCGAGGCCTTTTATCAATGTCTTCTCATCTGTGGCTAGCAAGCTAGAACTCAACCATGGTGTGATCAGGACTCCATGGGGTTAGTAAAGCAAAATAAACTCATTGCCACTGAGTCTCTTGTGACCATGGTGACCCTGTAGTGCAGAGTAGAACTGCCCCTGGATTTCTGAGACTTTAAAACTTTGAGAGCAGACAGCTTCATCTTTTACCTCTCATGCAGCTGTAACTTTGGACCACTGACCTGTGGGTAGTAGCTCAATGCACCATTCACTACACAACCAGAGCTCTGGTTACTAAATGGAAAATAAAGATAAGGAGTGGGAATGGGGAGGGAGAAAAATAAATAATTGTAAAAATATGTTTAATTTTATTTTAATAAGGTGATAGATTTTAAACTAAATTTATGAAATTGATAATTTTGAATATTAAATAATACGTGGATAAAATAGAAATAAATAATATTAAGGAATACAGATGATATAGAAAGGTATTTATAAATTTTGATTGGGATATATAAAAGATGATGGCAAGAAACACTAAGTAAGGAAAAGTGTACAATTATTGGCCAATTATCTGCAAATAACAGAATTTTTCAATTAAACCTTGAGTAAAAATATTTTCTTCCCTCTCATATTAAACCTTTAAGTTAGCTTGAAGGTTAAATTTCTAACCAAGCAGATTTTTGAAATGATCAATTTGGGGTAGGTGGTAATCGACAGAAACTAAATTACATTTTATGTATAGATTCCAGAAGAAGTCAATTTAATAGAACAGAAAAAATCATTCTCAAAAACAGCCATGTGTGTTCATTTTTATATATTATGAAATATTGTGTCTATATACATCACACATGAATAAGGAAGCAAATATAAGGTTAAAACATATAAAACCTACAAGAAATTAAAAGTAACAAAGTACTGCTATTGATTAGATTCCAACTCACCGTGACCCTAGAAAAGGTTTTCAAATCTGTCAACTCTGTGGGAACAGGGAGCCTCACCATTTTCTTTTGAAACACTCATGAGTTTGAGCCACTGATCATGTCGTTAGAAGTCCAAAGCTTACGTGATAGGACCACCAGACTACCCTAAAGAGGGGTTCTTCTGTTGAAACCAGGGTTTGAGACAGGAGCCTTTAGATCTGCAGTCAAATGTTCTCCCATATAAACTATTCGAGTGAATCATTTTGTTTTGAGAAACAGAACATCATTTTATCAAAAGTTTGCTGAGAATTACTGAGAAAAATGTTCATACAGTTTATTGTATTAAAAATAAAAGTATACATAATTTAAAAATCCTCATGAAACAAAGTCCATTCTTATTTCAATAGATCTTATGGGCCCAGTGGAACTGCCCTGTGGGCTTCCAAAGCTGTCATCTTTAACGGGAGCGGAAGCCTCAGTGAGTGGGTGGAACTGCTGAGTTTGTGGTTAGCAGCACAATGCATAACCCATTACACCACCAAGGCTTAAATACTTCATCACATGTAATAAAGTATACAAAACTAAGCACATCTATAAAACAAAGTAATATTTAGTCAAATTTAAGAGAAAATTAATATAAGGTCTATTAAAATCTGCCCATCAATAGCATGATCTAACATTTAGACTAACATGCACTTCAACTTGTGAATCAACAATTTAAAAAAATCTTACCTAATTAAAATTCAAGTAAAATGTTAATTTAATATTCATAACATTTAATTTTGCTCTTTTAATCAGTAAAGATGAAAACAGAGTCAGAGTAACCTTGAGGTAGTTGAGAAGGGTCGCTTTGATCACACCTATTTTCTCACGTACATTATAAACCAATTAGCAAGATTGAAAAGTTTATAAATGGAGAACAAAAACATCCTCTCCATTACTGATAACGAGTTGACTGGTGAACATATTAGGGGAGAGCCAAAATGGGTTTACTAACCCCAAACCTCGGGACAGCTCATGTGGATGTAAGTTAGAGTTTATAGAGTACCAATGTTGACCTAAGGGCCCCTAGTGATGCAATGGTTACGTGCTGTGCTGCTAACCACACGTTAGTAGTTCAAACCCACCAGCTACTTCAGGGAGAAGAGACCTAGAGATGAACTCCAATAAAAAGTATTGGCCTAGGCAATCCTGTGGAGCGGTTGTTCTCTGTCTCCTATGTCCATGATGGGTAGGACCAGACATAGTAGCATGCAACAATAATGCTTATCAAAACCACTGCTTCTCACAAGTCCAGGTGGAGAGGGGAAGGAGACCAACTTTTATCAAATAAGGTTTAACCAAAGAGAAGCATGGGGCAAAGGCGTTCTTGTTTTTTAAAGTGTGTAACAATGAAAGGAGACAATGGATATCTGAAAGGAGCATCTGGAGGATCTGTAGATCTGAAAGCCCAGGCCCTGGTGGTCACCAAAAGGTACCTGAAGAGGATGCTGGTGGAGTTGTTGATGGGAGCTATTGCTTCTCTGGGTCTGCAGCCAATTATCTGGTGTGGTGACTTTTTCGGTCATTGGTTCCAGACCTTGGGTGGAAAAAATTCTATGCATGCAGTTGAAGAAGGTCAGAACACACTGGGCCCTGCCAGTCCCTCTGTGGCTTTCTATCTTGGTTTCAGATTTCAAGGGCTTCAATGTGCATGGGTCCTGACCCCACTTTCAAAATCTCACATAAATTCTTTATTGGAAAATTCTAAGCTAGAATCATATAGGCAAGGGGATTTGGGGAACTATAATTCTAAATCAATTGATAGGAAAACCCATCACAGGATAGTCAAATCCCTGGCCCGTGAGTCCATTTTGACTCCTAGGTACCCTATAAGACAGAACTGAAATGACCTTTTAGGTCTTGAGGCTGTAAATCTTTATGAGAGCAAAAAGCCTCATCTTCCTCTGGAAGAGCTCCTACTGACCTTGTGGTTCGCAGCCTCACATGTAACACACTCTACTAGTAGGACTCTTGACAGGCGAGAAAATCTCTCATAAATATTAGAGGCTATCAACTGAGAAATTGTTGGTCTTAAATTGTTAAATTACTCCTCTTTGGGAAAAAGTAAAGTGTTAGTCAAGAGATCCAACGTGTTTATGAAATATTCCTTAAAAATTTTTGTGTGTATGTTTCAGGTTTATTGAAAACATTACAGCATTGTAGGGAAAGCTTCAAATAGCTCCTCGTGGTGTTAGGGATTTCTTCCCAATTGTGCGACCTACGGGTTACTCAGTCTACCAATGTCCAAGAGTTTCAAAATTCTACGAGTGTCTGATGTACTTCAATGATCTGCTCCAGTGGTGAGACCTCAGGAAGGTAACTAATTATCTCTTCAGTCTCTCCTCTTTCTGTAACTTGATGGAGTTACCTCTCATGGGGCCTCTCTGAATTAGCTTCAACACGTGTGTGATCTCGCATGCTATCCTGTTGCTGCTCTTCTTGCTATTGTGATCTCCTTATGCACTTTCAGCCCTCGTTGGTCTGGAAGTCATTGCCCAGACCTGTGCAGTATTTATTTCTCAATGAAGGCCGGGGCGACTTCTTCACGGTTTGGGGGCAATTGCAGCCCATGTTGGCGGGTACCTTATAAAAGAGGAAGTGAAATATTCATTTTAATAGATACCAAAAATGAGCAATGGAACCCTGGTGGCATAGTGGTTATGTGTTAGGCTATGATCTGCATGGTAGGCAGTTCAAAACCTCCATCAGCTCCTCTGGAGAAAGACTGGGCTTTCTACTCTGGTAAGCAGTTATTATCTCTGAACCACCAGCAGGTGACGATTGACTTGTTGATTGTGAATTGAGAAGAATGAGCAAGAATTCTTCACTTTGACAATTTCTAGTGTTAATGAAGATATTTGAAAGAAATATGCATATATTATTGGCGGCTATGTGTTATAAGATTATTGAAAGACAAGTTTTAGATATATATACCAAAATTTAAAACAAGCTTTATTAAACATTGTTACTATAAAATTATTAACATATTCAAAATTCCTTCATTTCTGACTGTAAGGCAGAGCATAACTGCCCTTTGGTGTTTTGAGACTTTAAATTTTTGCAGAAGTAGAGTTTCATCTTCCTGCCCCAGAGCAACTACTGAGTTTGAACCACTAACCTTGTAGTTAGCAGCTCAATGTGTATCCCATTACACCTGCAGAACTCCTGTTAGTATATCAATTTCTAAACAAATAAATGGAATAATATATAAATAATAAAATTTAAAAATTCCATTTATGATTCAATCACATTGATTACATACTTCAAGTAGTGGGCCTATTCTCACCCTCCTAAGAAAGGAAACTTCTATGAAACAAGTATATGACAACTTATTGTGGATGCCTTCACCTCATTAGTCATCCAAACATTATTAGCCTATCAACAGAAAGCCATATTAATTGTATTTGATAGAATTCGACATATTGCTAAAAGTTTTAAACATGAATACTCTTTAATACCCTATTTCCTTTTGTATCAAAAAGATGTAGTAGAAAGAGCGTGAAAAGATAAATTTACAAGTATAGTATCTATGGCGATATTTAGGAAAACTTGAAATCCTATTAAAAATCCATCAGGATTTCTTAAAAAAAATAGGAGGCCTACTTGTCATGAAAAATTCTTGAGCCTCACGGGGAGGGGCACGACTGATCAGAGCATATGGAACAAACAGAGAGGGATGGAGAAGGAGTGAAACACATCCTGGCTCACCATGCCCCGAGGATGATATTCCAGCTCAAAGCAGCCAATGCAAAGAGAGGACCACAGGGTCGGCCTCACCAAGAGACACAGCATCCTTCACTGTCTCATTGTGCTACAGGAACAACACTGGAGACACAGTGTGGGAATTGTGCCTGATCTGACCCAAACCCACCAGGGTGAAACGCTAAGGGCATGCAACAGAGCAGCAAGGGGGCAAAGCAATGAAGTCTCGGTGAATACCAAAAACAGCCTTTGGGGCCAGAGCGTGGCACCCCATCAGACTTGACCATAAAGCACTCCTAAGGGTGAATAGACCTGGAACTATTCTTAGCCTTTCTTTTGTTGTTGTTGTTTTTGTTGTTATTTTTGGTTTTTGTTGTTATTGTTGGTTTGTTTTGCTCTGTCTTGTTTTTGTACTTATGATTGTCTCTGCATATCTATCTAGATAAGATAGGTGGGATAAACAATCCGGAGGAGAAAACAATGCTACCAACTTTGCCGGAGGAAAATGAAGCCAGAAGAAAGGAAGGGGGGAGTCAACCAAACCAGGGACAAGGGAACAACAAGTGATCTGAAACTGATGGCAAGGAGAGTATAGGAGGTCTGGTGGGGCTTGATCAAGGGCAATGTAGCTGAGAATTACTGAAACCCAAATGAAGGCCAAACATGGTAGTGGGACAAGAGGAAAGTAAAAGGAAATAGAGGAAAGAACTAGGAGGCAAAGGACATTTATAGAGGTCTAAATACAGACATGTACATATGTAAATATATGTATCTATAATGATAGGGAAATAGATATTTGTACAAATATTTCTGTGTTAAGTATTTAGGTATCAGATGGACATTGGGCCTCTACTCAAGTACTCCCTTAACACAAGGAATCCAGATAGATATAGCCCTCAGGACCAATATTGAGAGCAGCAATACCAGAAGGGTAAAGGGAGGTGAGGCCAGACAGCAGGAACCTATCACAATGATCTACATATAACCCCTGCCCAGGGGGACGAACAACAGAAACGTGGGTGAGAGGAGTTATCAGTAAGTGTAAGACATGACAAAATAATAATAATTTATAAATTATCAAGGGTTCATGAGGGCAGGGGGAGAGAGGGGGAAAAAGGAGGAGCTAATACCAAGGGCTCAAGTAGAAAGCAAATGTTTTGAAAATGATGATAGCAACATATGTCCAAATGTGCTTGGCACAATGGATGGATCTATGGATTGTGATAAAAGCTGTATGAGCCCCCAATAAAATGATTTAAAAAAAATCTTAAGTCCAAACTATTAATTATATCTACATTAGAATATAAAATCTGTCATGCAAAAATGGATTTATTTTTTGGAAGAATGTATGGTATTTGAATATGTTATTGAGTTATTTATGTCTGAGAAAAATTCAGCTAATTTTTATGGTCTTATATCTTTATGTGCGGTTTGGATTTTTCCAATGTATATGTATTACACTTAGAATCTATCTTCTTTTACATTTTGGGATGAAATTACTATGGGAAAACTCACTATTTAAGTAAATATTCTGAACAAGTGCCAATGGTATCAATATTGTGCTTTTGTGAAAAAGCAAAGCAAAGTTGAAGAATGTGAACACATTAAAATCTCGAGAAGCTTTAATGACATTGAGAATAGTATTATCCCCTTAAGCAGGTAGAAATGCTTTCAATAAAATCCTTTACCTAAAATAGTTTACAGTGCCTAATGGGAGCATCAGAATCACTTTTGCTTCCTTTTTCTAAAAGATTATAAGAAGGTGGAGTTTATTGTTGCTATTCTATTTTTCTCTCTTTCTTTGGCTTTGATTCTACGGACGGAGCACTTTTCATCTCGCTACAGGTATGAGTCTGCATAGTCTCCTAGGAATGGTCTCTATGCAGGAAATAATATGGTGAGAAAAAGTTCTTCCTCCATTCTATATAATTTTCCCCACTGTGAGTCTGTGATCTGACCCTGAGTTTTATTTTGAATTCTGGTTGCCAACCAATTTTCTTTGGTGAAGTATAATCCCTGCCTTCTTGCTTTGTTAGCAGCTTCATTAGAAGCCTAGACATTGAAGGGTTTCCTCATATAAACATCGCTGCCATGTTCCCTTCTCTTTTTTTAGATAGTTTACAGTGAATAAAAGCCTTGTTAGAGTGAAGCCAAACATCAGAGCATAGACAAATAAAATTCCCTTTGAATTGACTGAAGGTTAAACTATCTGATTTACATCAGTTAAATATCTGAAAGTACACAAACATTAACTAGTGAGAGAAGGAAAGTATGAAATTAAATTTTCTATAAATCAACCCAAAAGATGAGTGTGGCAAATAACATTAAAAAACAAACAAACAAACAGCATTAGCACTGTCATACTAGTAGTGGTGTAGTTTACGATTAGAATCAGAGATTCTGAAGTCAGGCTGCCTATGTATAAAGTTTCAGAGCAACACTCAGCTCTGCTGTGTATCCTTGTAAAAGTTTCTAAGACTCCTGTCGCTCATTTATAACACAGAAATGATGGTGATAACTACCAGAGCGAGTCACGCCCCTGTGTGGTGCTAACGGTTAAGTGCTCTACTAGTAATTGAAAGGTTGGCTGTTTGAACCAGACAAAGGGTTCTAGCTTAGAAGAGAGGTCTGCTGATCTGATCCACAAGGTCATAGTCTTAACAAGTCTATGGAACTGTTCTATGTGTTATACAAGGGGCTGCCATGATGCAGAGATAACTGGATAGTAAC